CCTCTCGATCTAGGGGGTCCGTCCGGTCATTAACAATCGTCAAATGCCCTCCCTCATGCGCCCTCTCTCTCTCTCTCTCTCTCTCTCTCTCTCTCTACACATCACCTGCATATCCACATTTGGCCTGTCCCTCTTGTGATTGAGGTCCTTCGTCATTATGCTGCTCTCTCCTTCCCTTACCTGTTCACTCCCCTCCGCTCTGAGATCCTCTTCCTGCCTCACAATCTCTTCTTCCCCACCTTGTCCGCATCCCCCCCTACACGCCCTGCATTCCCCTACCCTGTTGCCTCGGCCTTCTTTCCCCTGCACTTCATCCGTTCCTACATCCTCACCCTGATCAACTGACATTCCCACCTCTTCCTCCTTGCTCGGCAACCCCCTCAACACCGCCATTTACTTACCCTGCATGCTTCATCCTATCCCTATGACCCCTCTTTCTGCTTTCTCTGTCGTCGCGTCCCGTCCTGACCGACCAAACCCCCCCTCCCTCATCCTCCTGATCGACAAAACCCCACCTCCCTTTTATCCTCCTGATCGACCAAAAACCCGCTCTCTCATCCTCCCCCTCCCCCTTCGTCCTTCACCTGGTATTCCAGCCTCTCAAGATTTCGATGGTGCCCTTCTCCTGCCTGCATGGCCAGGCACTTGACCCCGCCCCCTAGTGTTCCTTCTCCCCCTCCCTCTCCGCATGCACCGCATGATCCCCGCCTACTGCTTTCGATAACGGCCGTGCAAAAGTCCAGTCCCACTTGCAACATGGCAACCCCACAGAAAATGAAGTTCTTTTTTTTTTTTTAATGGAGTTGCAGCCCTGAACATGGGATGGAGGGAGGAGAGAAGGAGGGATGTACCGGGGAGGGGAAGCGAGATAGCTGGGGCACTTCGCATATGCCGGGGGAACCCCGGCGTCTCTATTTGGCTTTGGGGCCGAGTGTGAACGGACCCTCCACCTCTCGCGCACAGCACCGCTAGAGAGGGAGGGAGGAAGAGAGAGAAGGAGGGAGAGCGAGAGCGAGAGCGAGGGAGGGCGACCGGGGGAGAGAGGGAGGGAGTGAGGGAGGGAGGGAGGGTGGGTGCACTTCGCTATGCCGCGGGGACTCACCTGTTTCCTCTTTGGACGCTCCACATCTTCACGCACAACACCGAAGGCAGGCACAGAGAGAGAGAGAGAGAGAGAGAGAGAGAGAGAGAGAGAGAGAGAGAGAGAGAGAGAGAGAGAGAGTCCACTTCCGCACGCCTGTTTGCACACAGCTCGAGACCCCTCCGCCTGCCAATTCCTTTCCGAGCAGCGCCGACCAGCGCGGAGAATCCCGACGGCGCTGTACCGATGAACTGTTTGAAATACAGGCGTGAGGTCAAATCCTCCTCCTTGAATTATCTGGATCCCCTCAGTTAGGCCTCTCCGCACCCCTCGGTTGGGCTCGGTTGCAGGCAGAGGTAAGGGGACGGACGGTGCGTCTACGTACGCAACCATAGTCTCATCATATGTTGGGACTGCCACCGCTGTAGGTGTGGCAATTACAGGAAGGTAGGTTCATAGTGGTAGGGGATCTGCGGGATACCAAGGAACTTCAGGCTGGTGAGATTTGGTTCGGGTGGCCTCTTTTGAGTCTTTTCTCTGTTGTAGAGGTGGGGGTAATTTTCCACTTTTGAGTCTTTTCTCTGTTGTAGAGGTGGGGGTAATTTTCCACTTTGGTTTGTGTGTGTTTTTTTTTGACTTGTTGGGTTTCGCGATAGGAGGGTAGCTTTGGGCTTGTTTGGGTTTTCTCCGAGAAGATGTTACTCTTTGGGAAGATGATACGCTTTGGGAAGAGTGGCCTGCTATACTTAGGAACAAGAATGTTCCAGCCGGCCGAACAGGCTGGTTTTCAGACGAGCTATAGGTATGTGGATTAGCATAAAGAATAGGAATAGGACACAAGGATATGGTTTGTCCAATAGGAGGAACAGGACATGATACACCATGAACTGTTGAAAGGCAGACCTGAGTTCAAATCCTGACAGGACTAGAATAAAACCTGATACCAGGATGATTCAGCGTTAGGGCCTGATCCCACTTCTTATAGGCGAGGCACTCTTTGGTAAAATTTTGGATTCCGCCTCTTTCCACGAGGCGGCCCTGTTTTTTCGGATAGTTCCAATTTCTTTTATTACCGGAGTGGGTCGGAGTGCTTTACATTACCGGAGTGGGTCGGAGTGCTGCGCCCCTTCGCTAGAGCACGGTTTCAAACGATGCGGGCGAAGTGGCAGGCGAGGCGATGGTGGGAACGACATGCGACGAGGTTGTGAGGGCGCCACGGCATGATGGTGACGGAGGCGGAGGTTGGAAGTGAGTTGGTGGCCTTGGAGATGAAGCGCTGTTAGAGGCGCCCCTGGTTTGGACGGGGTGTGGTGGTGGGAGTGGGGGGAGGCGCCATCAACTTCGAATGGTCTTCCAACTTTTAACGCACCGCAACCAGTTCTTGACCCTGCCCTGCTTTAGGAACAACAACAGCAGCAAACCGTCGGGCACATGACTGTGGAGAGAATTGCCGACGTGGTGAGCGATGACGCAAGGACACGAGGCGAGAGGGCAATGATGGGAGGTAAGTTAGGGGCGAGGTGGGAGGGGCAGATGGGCAAGGGGGGTTCTTATGAACTTTGGTAGGTGGGGTTTGTTGTCCTCACAGTCCTTGTATTTGCGCAAATCCCTCCCTCTTCCTCAACAGCATGGAAAGGGTATGGTCAGGGTAGTCTTGAACCCCCTGTGGCGACTCGTCAACAGGTTTGACGAGGGGGTGCCGCACTGTTTTCGTTCCCTTGAGGGACCGAAGATGGCCGGATTATGTCTTTGGTGTTAGCTGTGCTTGGAGTCTAGATGCTAGCAATGGGAGGAAGGGAGTCTTTCCTTGCCCAAAAACGCAGGGGTAGGGTTTGAGGGTATGGAGGTAAGTAAGTGGGTTGAGGGAAGAGGGATGGGAGGTCGTTTTGCTGGATTAGGATTTAGCCCACGCGCGACTACTAAAAATTTTCGAATATCTAAGCCTTTACATTCCGAGGTTGTGAGGTTGATCTCTCATTGACGATTTTAATTCCCTGGTTGTTTTTTGAGAATACGATTTCAAATTATGTGGCTTATTAGAATTCCAATTGAGAAGTCTCATGTTAATTGTGAATCTCCTGATTGTTTTCTTGGATTTGCTTTAATTCGTGATTCCCTCATATATAGGTAATTCGCTTAGGTTCGGAAATAACCTTAGCAACGCTTTATATCTCAAGATCCTAATGCACTTGCTAATCTGAAGATCGTAAATCAGAGTTTGCTTCTGATAGATTCACATTTATGAATGGTTGAATCAAATACAAGTTCCTCAATTCATGACTTCGAAGGTATCCATTACTTGTTCTTCTAAGTGTTCTTTCCAATGACTGAATTACATCGACTCTCCTATAATCCAAATTCTTTTTGGTATTATCATTATATTATCATTGTTCTCCAGTCGATTTGTCAAGGTCTTTATGGTGAGATATTTTGTTCCTTAAATTTGGACTTATTTTTTCGTTCGTCAAAGTTGCGTTAGGGTCTAAACAAGGGCCCCATAGGGTAGTCAAGTAAAGTATCCAGGAGGGTTTTCGAGACTGCTTGGAAGTCGGGGAAGGGGCATGAAATGATTCTTTGCAAGGACGGAGAGGGGATGGAATAGGGTTGCTTGACGGGTACCGGTTAGGGGGAGCTCTTATCAGATGCAATTGGCGTTGGGTAGTTTAGATTGCCCAATGGGTACCGGCTGATGTGGGTGAGCTCTGCCGCGATTCGCGCTGGGTAGCGCTCGTTCACCCCCTTGAGGACGGAGACTGCAGTTTCTTGTGGGGGCAAGGAACTTCGGGGATGATGGTGCTCACCCCCTGCTGAAAAGTGGTTCTCTGAAACCCCTTACGAGGACGGAGTGAGGAAGTGACTGGGATGGAGGGAGTGGGGGTAGATGCGATTGGCGCCAATTATCTTGGCGAGTACCGGCCACTGCTATTAACTCCATTCAGTTTTTTTCCTTTTGATGACGGAGGCAGGATTTTTAGGTTGACTGTTCCAGAGGTTGCATGTTTTCATATCTTCCAAATTGACCTATCACTAGGATCGTCCATTCTCAGTTAATCCCCTGGTTTCCGGTGCAAACAATGCTGGCAGGGGGAAGTCTTCTTAATTTTTTCAAGAAAAGGTGAGAGGGAGAAGTAGACGGTTGGTTATTAAGCGTCCTACTAGTGAGGGGGCTAGCTCGTAGGATGGAATTAGGGTACAGCAGCAGCGGAGATGGTGGATCTGCTGCAGTAAGTCTTGCCAGACTGAGGTAAAGAGGATTGATGGGGGGTTTCTGAGTCGTTTTTGAACTTTGCCTAAATTTATGACATGGCCTCAGTTTCTCAAACTTTTATACTTCTATGTAAATTTTCATATGGGACGATGGGCCCGGTTCCCAGCACGTGCTGCTCCCCATGAATAGATTGGAGCCCTTGTCCTCCACCCCCACCTACCCCACCCCCAAAAAAAAAAA